AATGCTGCGGTGCGCTTCATATTACTATATGGATCAGAAACCTGGCCGCTGTGCGCCGAGGACGTCAAAAGACTTTCAGTGTTTGACCATCGATGTCTTCGGAGCATTGCCCGAAGAACGCCGGATCAGCTATGCTGAAGTATATCGAGTAGTATTCGGGAGAAATAACTTACCCTCGATGAACTGATCATACTGCATAGGTTGCGCTGGCTTGGTCACGTGCTGCGTATGCCAGTCGACCGACTTCCTCGAAGGGCTCTTTTCGCCCAACCACGTGAAGGGTGGAAGAGAGCCAGAGGCGGTCAAACAATGACTTGGCAGGGAAGTGTGAAAGCCATTACCAGCAAACTCAGCTGCGCTGGTAATTGCCGTCTTCCTGGATGGGGACCCCGAGACGGGCCACACCACTGGCTGGAGACATTGTCAGACATGGGCCAGTCGCGCCCTCAATGGCGCTCGTGCATCCAAGCTATTGCTTTCAATGCATAGCTCCTTTTCCACCCCCACTTGACAGCCCACTGACAGTGTCGGATTAATGCACCAACTTACCAGCTCGCGCCTGCAATGCGCAGCTACCCACCCCCTCCCCCAAATCATCGGTGAACGAAACTGCGGCAGCTGCAACCACTGTACGACGAGTACGCGGTTATTACAGATGACAATGATGATGATGATTAAAGTACCCACTGAACAACCAAATACCTGTTTTCACCGTTACGAATTCACTGAGCAGAAGAGTGAAATACGGACCCTGACATCACTAGACGATGATTCCACAAGTTATAAAATTGCTGACCATAAAAACCACACGTTCTGGTCATCCAACGGCTGTCCGTGACCGCTGACAAATTACTTAGTATGGGCCATTCAATGACTCGAGATAGGGTGCATCAGACAAACCTCATTCCTTCGCCCGGGAAAACTTACAGCTCCTAGTTCACCGGCCGTCCCCTATATTCCCTTCCCACCTGTCAGTTCAAGTACACTAGAAGTGTGGGTCGCTCATACGTATGGCAGCTGACAATGATGATGGTGGCATTGTTCTAGCGCCTGACGGAGTGCGAAGATTTGGTCTACGCGACACTCAACAGGTCGGATCTGCGCTTGCAGCTCCCGAGTTAGTGTTTCACGAGCCACCATAAAGCGACGAAGCACGCCGACAGTCTTGTTACAATCGGGGTCAAGCTCATCCCCCCCCTGTGGTTACCACACTCACTGGAAGCCCCTTTTTTAAACTGGGCACTACACCGGCTCTCCCCAGTTTTCTGGGACAGTCTCCTTTTCCAGAATGTAAGCAAACAGGTCAGACAAGCGATGACTGAGAGTGATTTCATCCCCTATCTTTGAACAACGCGAGTGGGAAGTCATCCGGACCAGAAGCTTGGTGGTGCTCGAAAGAACATATGCATGAACCTCCAATGTCGTGGGGGCTCCAGGTGAGTGGCACCTGGTGGCTACAGCAATTGTTCGAAGTATTCGGCCAACCGGTCTTAATTCTAGATAGTCAGTCCTTTCTGATCCTTGATGTTACACTGTACCGCATCAATGCCAAGCAAGTCCAATGTGAGAGCAAGAGCAGCTTGTTGACCTGCTTGCTTCAGGATGCGGAAATTAAAGGCGGCCAGACAGACTGGGCGTCGAAGCTTGTAGATGGATTTCGAGATGCCTGGGAGTACCGCATGAAGCGAAGATGTTGCTTGCAAAACCGATGCCAGACGAAAAGTCATCAGCCCTAAGTGCTGGGCCTGCAAAGAGGTGGAGGGAAGGAGATGGAAAAAAAGGTATGTGAAAGAGCCAGAGGGGGCATCAATAGTAGCATGTTTTCGCTTACCCACCCCGCTATATGTAGCAAGTTAAAGGATCCGGCTGATATTTATTTGTGTATGTGCAGTTCAGGGTTGTTCGTGGGCCGGGATACTGCCTGAGCGCCCACATCTAGACAGGAGGTGTTCTGTATCTGAACGGATACGATCAGCGACCATACGCGACTTGGCTACGAGCTCACGAATCCTCAGCTTTTACGTGAGCCCAACCAGTTCTAGCTCAGAGAGAACAAACGGACCTTCGGAGGAGAGCTTTTTACTGCCTCAACCAAAAGAGAAGCATAGAAGGAACCGATCAATGGGAAATTAGCGTGGTCCTTTCCGGAAAATGTGCAACATGGCGGGAAAGGTGTGGCATTAAAAAAGTTCACTTTTCAGAAAATGAAATCGTCAATAACACGAAAAGTAAATTATTTTTGGAGATACTGATATCCCTAAAAGGAGGACAATTAAGGTCCTCAACCAAACCCTCTGGCTCAAAAGCCTGATCACAAGGCAGCGGTGTTTGGCTGAAAACGGAAGCACATTATCATTTTTACGGAACACATCGACACACGTGTGTGTGGACACTCCTCAGTATAGTTTCATGGGTCGCCAAGGTAGATAAACCGTCACACCACGGTAAGTTCCAGTCTCTGTAATGGGTGCATGGTTGGGGGAAGCTGCCATATAGCGTGACTTGTGTGTGACAATACAATTTGACCCGGATATGAGCCTGCTTCTTTGGTCCCTCTGGTGGTAGACTGTTGGAATCCAACATTGCTCTAAGTTGTAGAAGACTTGCAGAATAAAGTGTGTGCTTCAACAGCTCGCATTAAACGAAAGTTCAAAAGCCTTCGTTGCCTTGGTCTCTTGATGTAAGTGTAATCTGCTGAATATCTCTTGTTTAAAACACAAATCCAAACCAAACTTCTGCCGCTGGCGGTCTTTATGGCATCTCAGCATCATTTAGGGCTTCTTGCTCGCTTTTCTCTTTCTAAGATCACTGACGTTGGAATCTCCACTTACATCTAACTTCTCCTCAGTATATGTTGCGTTTTAATCCAAGATCGTTGACGATAGGTGACAAAAACTCACTACCTCGCACTACCATCAGCAACAATACAATGCTGGTGCTCAATTGTCATAGTCATAAAGCACGGACGTTCGAAAATCGCAATCAAATAGATGCCACTTGCGAAAGTTTCCAACGTAAGTACAGTACTTAGGAGGTTGCACTATCGTTATTTTACAGCACCTTCTCTGTCCAGGAGCTGTATCTCAAGACGTCCACAAAGTGACATAAATAGATGCACCTGAGATCTCCAAACATTTGCTGGCACTCCTGTGACAGTAAACTCTGCTTAAGCCCATATTTGGTAAAGATTCTTTGTCCCCCGGGCAGCGATTACGGTTCATCTGGTTAAGGTGGTTGGAACGCGCATTCCGCACGCCTCCCATAGAAGGCGTTGTCCCTCGTTCCCAAACTTCACCAGTGAACCCGTCGCAGGAAACAAACCACCATATGGCAACACAAAATGAGAAGCCACATTAAAACGGTTTGTTGCAGGTGTTTGTGCCCTTCTATGAGGATTTCTTTTGCACATGCCCTATACCGCAGAGATAGGAAACCCGAGCGAGAGTGCTTGCAGGGGGCTCATCTGGAGGGCTACTTTTCGTGAATGGATTGCCCTTTTAGGGGTTTCCTCGCGCCCGCAGACCTAGCAACCCATCACTGTGAGGTAAGTCGCATTCGGATGGAGTCGTCCGAAAAAAGCTTAACCCCCACTGCCTCGTGATTCTTGTGTCGATGCCTCAAATTTGAGTACGAACCGAAACGGAATGATCCTTAGTTGTTTCTTAGGAGTCGGCTTCATTCCCATTGTCTGGGATGATGCACTCAGACATGTTAAATCTTTTTTCTCTGAAGATCTTTACTCATCGTCATTGTTTCTCACCTCAGCCTCTCCTGTGGCTATGGTCACAGCGGTTGAACAGAACATGGTCGGCATTCTTCGGCGTTTTCATCTCCACTCCATGGATGCTGCATTCAACGAGTTCAATTCGCAGAACCCACTGACTCATCTGCGTAAATTTGTAAGTGGTGTTATTCCTGATTCCTTATCCTAATCGTTTTCTACCCAGAACCCACATCCATTTCTGTTCAAAACCCACACTGACCTGGAGAGTACCGAACAGGTTAAAAGATTTTCCGCCCCTTCGTCCACTTTACCCATTAGTGACTCGAAACTGGTGCGACAAAGTAAGTGTTCAACGAAAAGATTCAATGTCTTCCCAGTTTTGCACTTTTTACGTGCCTATCGATTTTCTTCCCACGCTCCTAGTTCAACAACATATTTGTCCCACTTCTCTGTCCAAGAGTGGCTTTATCACGCTGGTATACTATTACTACGTTTAGTTGTACTAGTTTGTAGTAACGCGAAAGCTTAGACCACTGCTCTTCTATGGCATAAGAGTGGAAAACATTTTTCATGAGTACCAGTAGTCTGGTACCTACTTGGTGTCGGAATGCGATTTTCGCTTGGTAGTCCTTACCGTAAGGTAGCTCAAGCCTCGATTCATCTAGGGTGTTCTTTGTATCGAGTTTGGAGAAGTACGATTTCCATACAATACCTCATGAAATGATTGTGGGGTGGACTTTAAGGAGTGGGGACTACTTCCGGTAACACGGCGCATACTGTGTCAGATGAGACCGGGTCATTTGCATGTGCATCGATCTTTCACAATGCTCCTACTTTCACTTCGTTACAACATAATTGCAGTTTGCAATTGCCGAGTGATCGAACCGAGCCCAGAAGTCTTAGTGGGTAATGTAAGTTTCTTGGCGAACATTTGCATTTTAAGAGCTTGAAACTCAGGTAGGGTAGCACGTCATTCTGGATCCTATCTCGGGTAGATTGTGTTTACTGTTGTATGTTACTTTGGGTCTCCTAATCTGTCTCCAGCTATCACCCCGTTACTACATAACTTGCTATATCTTATAGTGTTGTCGAGTTAATCCTGATGAATCCCACTGATAATAAGGAAATTTTGTATTAGCTCTTCTGGAGCTTCATCTAAATAATCGTATACTTCGACCTTCATACTGGTACTGGAAAACAAAACATACAAAATTCGCCAACCTTGTCGTCTCCGCCATGGAATCGCATGGTGCTCTAAATTGGACCGATCCGAATGCAATTTTGCAACCCTACCCAAGCGCTGTTAGCCGTCGCATTATAAGCGTGCCTCTAAGAAAACCCTTCATGTGTTCACTCCGAATTTTCCTCCATTTTACAGCACGCCGTCATTCCCGCCTGAGTCATGGGTACGAGCATCCATCGAGGTCCCCTCTGCATCATGTAGAACAAGATTCACGAATATCAACTGTCTACTCGCCGGACAGACATCGCTCGCCTTCGATGGGCTCGAATTTATCAAATCCCGGTGCATTACAGCGCTCCTTAGACGAAGCTCCCCCAACACTGTACACTCCCACCCCTACATATGGGAAGCGCAGTGCTACGGGTCATCATGGAACGCCGAGTTTGCTCGATCACCCGCCAACTTTGTCCAACCCTCGAACTCCCGCATCCGGAAACCCACCTGTCACCAACTGGGAACACTCCAAAATTGAACCCATTTTATCCACTACTGCCTCTCTTCTGGAGGGTAGAACACCATTGTCCAGAATTGCCCCCATAAGTCATCTGAATAGTGATCGTATAAGGACCTCCTCGGGTAACTCCCATGGTGAAACCCTTTCTGACGCAACAGAATCAACAACTTCCATGCCCAATGTGTCAGCTGCTGCACAAACCCTAATGGAAAACTCTCCATATCCAGTACCACCCACCAGTATTGGTTGTCAGCTTCGACCCCGCTCAGGCACCAAAATGATTACCACCAGTTCATCTTCCGTTGCGTCTAAACTCCTTCTTAGGTCAAAGCGAAGAGCTTTACCTTCTCCATCTGTAGAGCTGTCTGCACGGCATTTATCCCCCAAGACAACCAGCAAGCCCCTCAAACGTCGGCGGTCCTTCGATCAACTCACTGAACCCTCCATTCATGGTTCACCAGACCCAACTGGAGAACATACTCATCGAGAGAGGCGTCCAACCCAATTCCTTCAAATCCCCCCTTCCAGTCCCACCTCATCCATCCGTGTCCAGCGGCAAGGACCAACTTATCTTCGGACTGCTAATCCCTACTACCTACCAGATTTCAGCATTTTGTGCACTTCTTCCGGCACCCATGAGCAAATTCTCTATGGCGAACGCCTTGTGGAGGAAGATGAAGGCAATTTGGATGATGAACACCAATCCGTCACTTCACTGATCGAAGGTTGGTCTTTCGTCCTTATCCTATCTTCAGTACCGCATTCACTTGTTGCCCCGTTGACTTAGGAGCTGAACTTCTTCCTTAGCCCTTTTATCATCCCCTCACAATTTGCCTTTCTGGGTACCTCATCGTGAGCTGTGTGTGTTTGTTTTGATGGATGTGCACTCGTGCTTGGCTCCTATGATTTTCGAAGCCAATCAGCAAAGTTTATAGTCTTGAAAACGCACTGTGGAATGGAAAATCCGGCGTGCTATCCTTCGAAAACGTGGCCTACAATAGCCTGTTGCGGGCTTGCACACTAATAAATCCCGTTCATCTGCAGCACCGTTTCAGTTGATATTTGCTGTGCCACCTGAAAGGATAACAGTCACCGTGATAATGCCAGCCTACTCTGATTAGGCTGCAGTCTTCTGCGATTCCACACTCACCATTCAAATAGTTTTGTGCAACTTTTCTCGTCCGTCAACGTCTGTGTGCACTGACAGTTGCTGTGGTCCCGATCATACGCAGGGACCTGTACTCGTTCAGTTTTCTCGCGAACCCCACCTGCATTACTTCCTACGTTTGTAGGACGCTGTGAACCGTTGACATTCTGTGATATCGCCTTCCAGGATGGGGACCGGGTGATCCTCACTGTGCCTGGTTGGAGACACTTCAAGATATGGCTGCCGACCGATGTTAGTGGCGTTCTTGTTGTCAGTTTCTATCCAGATTGCCTCAGTGAGTGTCTGGAGGTGTAGGCACCTCGGAATGATTGTGTTGAGCTAGCACTAAGTCCCTCCCCCATCCACCTTTATTCTTTTCTTTACAATAAGGCTTTCAAATAAGTCATGGCTGTACGGCAGTGAAGCATCGGTGTTGAACACTGATGTCATGCTGTTGATGATGATCCTGCGATATTTCCCCCTTGGTATTGTTTCCATCAGTAGATCGGTCCTTTAAGTTTTCTGAGTGGGTTCTGGGTACAGCCGATATGGTCATTAATTCACCGGTTTTCTAACTGGAGACGAGTAACGCGCGGACGTGCTGGTCGATATGTTCACCTATGCACACCTGTCATCAACTGGCTCTCGATCTTTCCACTGTCTTAAGTAAAAACCTAGTTATGTTGTCTGGTACTCTCACCTGTCTATACAATTTTCCAGTTCCTAGTTGGCGTATCAATCCTCTGAGCGCAGTCGTTCGTTCCCTCGAAGATTCAAGAACCAGACATCGTCAGAACACAAATGATTCCGCCGTTGATCCACATGAAATGGATGTATCAAACTCTGATCCGATTGTCAAAACCCTCCGGACCGGTGTGATTCGTAGCTCCGGTGTCCTTGAGCGACGTCCTCCCGAAAGGCTATGTCCTCCCGAGGTCAGGTTATCTGGATCATCAGTTCGCACCTCTGGGTGTTCCGTTGCGCCCTCCTCATCCTCGGAAATATCAGACTTGGAAGACACGTCAGATGCAGCTTACCAAGTTCGCCATGCTCGTCTGGAATTAGAGGAAATTCGTCGGGAACGACGTTGCCGGCAGCGAACTTTTGAACAAGAATTGAAACAACGTATAGAACAGCGTGATCGAGAGAGTTGGGTGAGTTCCCCTCTTAATTGAACAACTCTTTATCGTTTTCAATAGTTTTCCGATGCCCATGCTACATAACTTCCATACGATGCGCCGAGAAACTAGTCATAATGTAACGAAATGTATGCTGTCTGCGTGTCAAGGGAGCTTCCGCTGTCGATACTACCGGTCGTTCAACTGCTGCACACAAATAGGGTGTGTTAGACAGCGTTATATCAAAAGCATTGTTTTTTCGTGTTGCATGAACTGTCCCGGTTAGTTTGGATGTTTTGCTTGTCCAAAAACACTAGATAGTGTTTGCCCTATGAAATGTTCTCACTTTTACACTTCCCTGTTTTAGCGGAAACGACAACCAGGACGCTTGGATCCCTTGGCCAAACTTAATCCAGAAGACAGAATGCCTTCTCACTTAAACTTGGCCTTTAACCAGAGTAAGTTTGATTCATTTCAGCTCTTTATGCTTGGGGACTAAAGATGCGAAATGAATTTCACTCTGTGGAGTGCAGTCGTTTCCGTATCCGAGATTTTGACGAAGACCGCGATCTTGTTCCCATCGTTGTGGCGCTCAGTATTCGCACAATGGAATTAAATTTTCGAAAGCTATGAGGTGTGTCATTTAGACATCCCGGTGTTTCGGCGATGCTGAGAATTACTCCACTAGACTTTTCCGACAGAGTTATGATTGCTTTAATAGAGTTTTCTGAGCTGCAAAAATATGAACGTAGATTAAGTTGGTTTTCGGTTTGAGCACATACAGCAAAAGGCAACAGTTTGGTGCAAAAAGTCGATCTGGAGTACGCAGATGACATCGCCCTCATCTTTGAAGACCATAGCGAAGCACAAACCCTGTTGAATAAACTAACCGCCATCATACCATCATTTGGCATGCGCCTTGCACCTTCGAAGTGCAAAGTCCTGCTTCAGAAC